AAGATAAAGCATTCGTGCTTTTAAGTTGACAGTTTTATTACACTTCTATGCAAACTAATTTCAACCCAAATGTGACGTACGTTTCGCCTGAATTATGAAACAACTTGGGCAAGAAGGCATGACAACAATAAGAAATATTTATCAAACAAGAAAATCCAGGGGCTTTTAACATCAGTGTTTATTTTTTCATGACAGTAGAGTCCTAAAACGAGTAAAAATGCATATGAAGTGACTGCATGGTTACAATCGTCATTGGAAAGGGGACAGCGTGGAACACTTGCTGCAAATTTGCTGAGGAGAACGAACGCTGATAATGCCCTCGCTTGCGTCCATTCTCCTGAGCCAGTCTTAAACGCACACCGGCCAGGCACATATTTATTCCCTTATTAATTACCTCTTGACGAACACACAAAACCAACGTCTTTGTTCTTGCCACAAACAATAACTTCTGTCCTTACATGCTGACAGCTGGTAAGACTACTTTCAGAGCCAGTGCAATTAATCTCGTATCGGTGAAAGATCTCTGTCTGAGTTTCGTAAGATATGTCATATGTAGCCCTGATGGCACCAGGAAAGCCGAGCTGCCTACAAGCCACGGTAGCTTCCTTCAATCCCCATGAATCACTGCACACTTTACCCCATTCATTGTCATGGGAGACTTCAAGCCAGCCTTCATTTACATTTCTACCGCCACTCAGACGAATTGCTCCTGGAATTATAGAATTAGAGAGAATGTGTTACATTTACAACGGAACAAGTCTCTTCTATGACGATTAGAAGTAGATCATGAAGATTAATTCCATTTCATTTGATTTATTATCCAATTTTTAAATTCAGTACTTCGTTTGCGTGCAAATATACATGAAGTACAACCCCACAAATAAATACGAAGAGAAATTTAAACAACTTAACAAAGGACCTCATTCACCGGTGAAAAAAATTCATCGTTAGGTTATAGCATAACAAACCAAACCGACAACCCAGCAACAAAAAGTAAGGATTCTATCATCATTCATAAGCTGGATAGAGTGAGGAGCAAACGAGTTGGAAAAGCGACTTGTTCCGGCCATGATCGACTGCCACCTGCACCCACTTCTTAGCTTAAAATAATGGTTGATGATTTGAAAGAAAGAGCAAAAGTGAACGAATGTTATTTGTACCATAGGCTTAAATGACCATGCAATAGATGAGAGTAATCGGTCACAATCGCACTAACTGCCCTAGCAAGTGCCCGTTCTTTACATATCTGATCAAGATCGACGTCATCATTTATGATTTTACTTGTTTCTTAGCTCTGTGCAGCTTAGCTTGTTTATTTATTTCGCATTGTTACACCATACAGTGGTATCCTGTGTTTATGGTACTCCGAATTACAGAGGAATAGAACAAACGCAAAATCATCGCCTCCACATGGAAGATTTAAGTTTTCTGAGGAAATACAAACTTTGGTTACACTTCAGTAGAGTAGCCTTTGTTTGTTCCCCCACCTCAGGTGATCGTCAATTTTAGAACCCAAATATCTGTAACAATGTACATTCTCAATTGACTCGCATTACAAATATGTGGGATCAAAAACCTTCCTCATCCTAAAATCAGTCATCATTTATGTCGTTTTCCTTGCGTTTAACACTACAATGATTTTCAACAGAAGCGATGGTAGCTCACTACTCATTTTGTCGTCTTTTATCAATCCTAAAACGTGAACTGTTGAGACATTAGAAGTACAATAATTTGTGTACAAAATAAAAAGGCTCAGAGACATAACACACCCTAATGGGGAAATAGTATTTACGGTGAGTTCGTTTGACAAAATACCATTTACTTTCACTCTCTGAGTTCTCCCGAGTAAGAAGTCATTAATCCAGAAAATGAGGAATGGATTAACTTGTACCAGTTTCAGTTTTCAATCAGTCCATACGGTTGAATGGTATTGAATGCGGAGGAAAATTCCACGAAGGTTGCTCCAGCACAACACCCTGTTGTGTTTGTGTGCTGATATAACGTGTTCGTCAGGGAAACTATCGCATCAGTGATTACATTGATATGCCAACTGTTGGCATTAATGCGCTCACGAATGGAACATGGAGGAAGGGCACAGAAGGCGTTTGAACTGGGCCACAACATCAGGCCAATTACCGCTTTCTGGCATGCCCGGTATGTCCGTAGCCAGAGCGCAGCGACACGTATCCCATGATCGTTGCCGCAATTTTTCGCTGGTAATCTGCATCCTTAAAACGTTGTGTACTGCAGTATAGGAAGTTGAATATTCATGCCATCGTTGGTGTTTGGTATGAT